AATGAATGTAAAGCAATGAAAACTAAAAAATAATAATATTTGCACCAATCTTCACGTAAAATCAAATAGCATAGGAGTTAGATAAGATTTTGTTATTCATTTTCGAAGAACAACAAAGCACAAGTCTAACGCAAAGGTTGGACTAATAAATTGACAGGTTGAATGGTCAGAAAAGAAAACGACATTTGCATCACAAATTCACAATCGACTACACAACTTTGACAGTGACAGCATGAGTGGCTGCTACCCATAGACGGGCAGACCATAGATTTGTATTGTACAATGAGGTTCGCCCTATGAACGAGTGGCAGACACATATAAACCAATTTGCCATGACCAAACTTATTCAAAGGCACGCAGTCCAAGCTCACGAATTGACCATTTCAGTATCTAACTTAAAATAAGTGACATGGTGCATAAGAGATCTCAACGCAGTACTGTAATGCAGTATTACTCTTACTAATTCTGAGTATAATATCTGCAAGAAGTTAAGAAAGAAAACGATCTTGAGTTACCTGGATGGGTTGTTGAGTTGGTTTCGGTGGAATTAAGGCAGAACTTCCCGTCAGGGCAGACGCACTGGAACGCAAACTGATCGAACCTGCACTCCCCGCCGCTCAGGTGTGTGCATCGATCGCAGTCCCCTAGCGGCGCTGGAAGCTTCAGGAGGAATCCATCCCTGATTAGCCGCTCGTACTGCTCATGAGCTCGATCCAGTCCTCGGCGCACCGGCACGCTCACCGAGCTACAGTTGGTGGAAACCCCCTGCGGCAGCGTGCCGTTTTCGCCGCCGCCGTCCCAATGACCCGAGATGTACGCTCCCATCGCGTGGTTTCCACACGAGCGCCGCAGCCGAATCTCAGCCGGCACGGTGCAGTTGTAGAAGAACACGAGGCGCTTGTTCGTGGAGCTGATGTTGAACGGGAAGAGGGCGAGGCTGGCCGTCAGGTTGAAGTCGGGGACGGGGCAGCCGCTGTCGCCGGCGAAGGCGGTCTGCACGGCAGCCATCATGGTGTTGTCCACGTAGGAGATGTTGTCGACGCGGAACAGGTGCTCCCTGAACGTGTTGCTCAGGTAGGAGCGGCGGGTGCCGTTGTCGCAGGTAAGGTCGAAGGCCGGGTAGCCGCAGTAGAGCGGCTGCGCGCCGGCGAGGGAGAAGGGGTACCTGATGGTGAGGCCCCCGCATGACCGCTGCGTGCAGCTCCCGTTGCTGCCGGTGCCGGTGGTGGATGCAGCCGTGCGCAGGAAGGAGGCGAGCGGGAGAAGGAGCAGCTGCAGCGACAGCATGGACATGGTTTGCGACGAGCACGCGCGCACTTGGACCGTGGAACTTGTCTCGTAGTACTACTTGTGAGGGATGAAGTGGATGATGTCGGTACGCTGGTACATGGTCTTTGACTGGTACTGTTCCCGGTTTTCGTTACGCAACTCTCTATCGCATCTTCGTCGCAGCAACGGCATCGCGGTTTTCTCCGCCACAGGCTCGAAGCTTAATTAAGCACGTATGGAGGATTATGGCTACCGAGCAAAAAAATTAATTGAAAAACCTTCAATCTATTCATCTTCAATCATAGCAGTATAAAAACACTAAAGATAATAAAAATTACAAACCAAGTCCGTGGACCATCTAACAACGACTAGAGTGAGCCGAAGGCACGCCTCGTCGGAGCCAGGTGAAATCTGGGATTACACGAAAGGAAACTGGGGAGAAACTATATGATTTTTTTCCAGGTAATCAGGCATGTTTATTCAATAGCATCAAGTTTACACTTTACTAATACAAGATCATATATTCCTTAAAAAAACTAATACAAGATCATGAAGACATTCGGGGCCTGCTGCAACCAACAAGCGATGCTGCGAGCTGTCTGTGCATAAGTAGCAAGACAATGAGATACCCTATTCAGGGATCTAGCTAGCTTAATTGGTTTAAACTTTCGTTCTACCATGAAATTCATATTAGATTACCAAAAGGCGATTCAACAAGGGGAGCATCCGGCATCGAAGAGAGAGCTCCCAGAGAGTCCAACTGGACCACAACAGGAAGGCTAGCCTATTGAAGGGTTAACGACATTTCTACCATTATTGCTTGAATCTTCCCCTCTAGAGCTTGCACTACTAGGAAAAACTTTATACATAAAGGTATAGCAGTAGCGCTGATTAAAACAGGGTGCTACTGCTACATGCTAGTAGCGCGTTCTAATAAAGCACGCTATAGCTGCATACATAGCAGTAGCGCGTCTGCTGAAAAAAGCGTTACCACTATAATTCCCACCGTGTTGACAGTAGGCTAGGAATAGTAGTAGCGATGCCACATAAAGCGCGCTACCACTAAGTGTGTTGTAGCAGCGCGTTTTCTGGATAGAGCACTACTGCTAAGAAAGAAATTAAAATGAAAAAAATAGAAAAGTAAATGAAAATGAAAGAAGTAGGAAAAAGAGAAATGAGAAAAGAAAATGTAAAGAAAAAAAAGAGAAAGGCATAGAACTAGCGCGTTTTACAAGCCAGCGCTATAGGTACGTTCCTTACATAAAAGGAAAAGAAAAAGAAAAATAAATAACTGCTTCCAATAGCAGTAGCGCGTTTTGCTAGAAACCGCTATACTAACTTAGCTATAGCGCGTTTTTCGACCGCCGCTACTGCTAATTTGACTTAACCATCCGCGGGCTTAAAATTTTGCTAAGTCTTTTCCTCCATCTCCCCCCTGTTCTGCCAACTCCTCTGTCGCCGCCGTCGATCGCGCACGCCCTCGATCTCACCGCCGCCGCCCGAGGCCGCCCTCAACCTCACCGCCGCCGCCCGAGGCCGCCCTCGACCTCTCCGCCGCCGCCCGAGCCCGCCCTCTACCTCGCCGCCACCGCCCGAGCCCGCCCGAGCCGCCCCTGTCTCCGTCGCCGAGCACCTCTCTGCCACCGTCTCTCCCCTCTCTGTAAGCTCCCCCCACCCCCTCTCTCTCTGCATTTTCTTCCTGCCATGTTAATTAGCAGTAGTAGTAGATGTTAATTAGTAGTAGGGTTCATAGATAATGTTTTTTAGTAGTAGTAGTAGTAGTAGATGTTAATTAGTAGTAGTGGTGGTACTAGTTAACTAGGGAAATAGGGTTAATAGTAGATGTTTTTTAGTTACGGTAATAATAGATGTTAATTAGTAGATAATGTAGATGTTAATTAGTTCAGTAGAGTTTACTTTTTGAATTAAGTTTGTTTAACTACATGTTAATTAGGGCAGTGGGGTTTAGTTTAGACTAAAATTTAGTTCAGCAGTTAACTAAATATAATCTATATTTGGTCTTTGAATTGAGTTTGAGAGAGCATGAGATTTGTATATATTTTCTTGAAGTGTCAAACACTAGAAGATGCAAATTTGAAGTGGTCATGATATATGCAAATTCCTCAATTGTGTTTGCTCATGTTTATCTACTGTTGTAGTTTCTCATGTACATATTCTTAAGTGGTCATGTTATATCTTTTCATTGAAGTGGTTCGATTGTGCCCAAGTGGCCTTTTGTTGTTTCCAGGGAATGAAGCCGAGTGGCCTATGTTTTGCCGGAATATTGATTCATTTCCGTTCCGGCAAATTTCAGGTGCTCAATTTGTCCACTTTTTAGCAAAGGTCATGCCAAAATTTTCCGTGAATTTCGGCATGACTTGTGCTACAAACTAGGACATATCAAGTGCCCGGGATTTGCCGCACCGGGAAGGAATCAACGTTCCTGCAAAACATAGGTATTTTTTGTCATCTTCATTTTATTAGGTCTAGAATTAATTGACTAGATTTAAGCGTAGGAAATATGGCAAGCAATGATGAAAGACATGGTTCTGGTGATTGCGTTGACATCTACCAGGCGGCAGACGAATTTTTGAACCTTGCCGACGATCAACGAGTGTTCTTGCTAGGCCCACTAGTCGCATCGGAGACTGAGACCGACATCCAGACCGGCGCTCAAACTGAGACCGGCGCCGAGACCAGCACCGAGTCTGGCGGAGCCGGTATAGAACCGAAACCAAAAAGGCAATGATGCCTAAACCAGCTCATCACTACTAGACCGGTGGTCACGGAGGTGGACGACGTCAATTTTGAGCCAAAAGAGCCTGAGGAAGCGCAATCGTGCTACGACAATCAAATAGGCTGCATCGTACGGACAACCGCCACCATCAACGATGGGAAACTAAAGAAGATAGAAAATATGAGGCCCTCCCTCCTAAAGAAGTTGCACCAGACATTCTTGTTCCCGGGCCGGGATGAAAAGGAATATAAAAATCCAGAAAAAGACCCGGCAATGAAGAACATAAACAAACGCGCCATGAGCAAGTTTAGTGATGCGTTGGCCGCCTGGAAAGCAAGGGTGAAACATCGGATCATTAAGAAAAAGGAACCCTACTCCGAGATTGTGAAGGATAATCCGACAATCACGGAAGATCAGTTTCAAATATTCAAGGCGGCTTGCGAGGCCGAAGCTGAAGGAAATATGCCCTAGAGGCAATAATAAAGTTATTATTTATTTCCTTATATCATGATAAATGTTTATTATTCATGCTAGAATTGTATTATCCGGAAACATAATACTTGTGTGAATACATAGATAAACTAAACGTCACTAGTGTGCCTCTACTTGACTAGCTCGTTAATCAAATATGGTTATGTTTCCTAACCATAGACATGTGTTGTCATTTGATCAATGGGATCACATCATTAGGAGAATGATGTGATTGACATGACCCATTCCATTAGCTTAGCACCCGATCGTTTAGTATATTGCTATTGCTTTCTTCATGACTTATACATGTTCCTATGACTATGAGATTATGCAACTCCCGTTTGCCGGAGGAACACTTTGTGTGCTACCAAACGTCACAATGTAACTGGGTGATTATAAAGGAGTTCTACAGGTGTCTCCAAAGGTACATGTTGGGTTGGCGTATTTCGAGATTAGGATTTGTCACTCCGATTGTCGGAGAGGTATCTCTGGGCCCTCTCGGTAATGCACATCACATAAGCCTTGCAAGCATTGCAACTAATGAGTTAGTTGCGAGATGATGTATTATGAAACGATTAAAGAGACTTGCCGGTAACGAGATTGAACTAGGTATTGAGATACCGACGATCGAATCTCGGGCAAGTAACATACCGATGACAAAGGGAACAACGTATGTTGTTATGCGGTCTGACCAATAAAGATCTTCATAGAATATGTAGGAGCCAATATGAGCATCCAGGTTCCGCTATTGGTTATTGACCGGAGACATGTCTCGGTCATGTATACATTGTTCTCGAACCCGTAGGGTCCGCACGCTTAACGTTACGATGGCAGTTTCATTATGAGTTTATATATTTTGATGTACCGAAGTTTGTTTGGAGTCCCGGATGTGATCACGGACATGACGAGGAGTCTCGAAATGGTCGAGACATAAAGATTAATATATTGGAAGCTTATGTTTAGACATCGGAAGTGTTCCGGGTGAAATCGTCATTTTACCGGAGTACCGGGAGGTTACCTGAACCCCCTGGTAACCTAATGGGCCTTAATGGGCCTAGTGGAGGAAGAGGAGAGGAGGCCTAGGGGCTGCCGCCCGCCCCTCCCCCCAAGTCCGAATTGGACAAGGAGGGGGGGGGCGGTGCCCCCCCCCTTTCCTTTCTTCCCTCTCCTCCTTCCCCTCAAGTCCTAATCCAACTAGGGAAAAGGGGGGAGTCCTACTCCCGGTAGGAGTAGGACTCCTCCTGCGCGCCTCCTCCTAGGGCCGGCCACACCCCCCCCCTTGCTCCTTTATATACGAGGGCAGGGGGGCACCTCTAGACACACAAGTTGATCCTCGTGATCGTTTTCTTAGCCGTGTGTGGTGCCCCCTTCCACCATAGTCCTCGATAATATTGTAGTGGTGCTTAGGCGAAGCCCTGCGACAGTAGAACATCAAGATCGTCACCACGCCGTCGTGCTGACGGAATTCTTCCCTGACACTTTGCTGGATCGGAGTCCGGGGATCGTCATCAAGCTGAACGTGTGCTAAAACTCGGAGGTGCCGTAGTTTCGGTGCTTGATCGGTCGGCTGTGAAGACGTATGACTACATCAACCGTGTTGTCATAACGCTTCCGTTTTCGGTCTACGAGGGTACGTAGACAACACTCTCCCCTCTCGTTGCTATGCATCACCATGATCTTGCGTGTGCGTAGGAATTTTTTTTTGAAATTACTACATTTCCCAACAGTGGCATCCGAGCATAGGTTTTATGTGTTGATGTTATATGCATGAGTAGAACACAAGTGAGTTGTGGGCGATATAAGTCATACTGCTTAC